CCAGTGGTGGGATGTAACTAAGTACAAATACTTTGTTGCTGTACTTAAGTACATTTTTTGTGTATCTGTACTTTACTTAAGTAGAGTTAAATGTGGTTACTTTATACTTTTACTTCACTACATTTTACATCAAGTATCTGTACTTTCTACTACACTACATTTCTATAACGCGCTGCATTACAAGTTACATTCATGTTGTGGCTTTTTGATTTGTTTGTTACTTTGAAAGTAACCAATGGTGAGAGGAGAGCTGGTCCAGTGAATCACTGCAAAGTGGGCAGGTAACGTTAGACCCACCTTCAAGAAGAGCTGGGCCAATGATATATATTCTAGTATATATGTCACTGAGCTGGGTGCACCTTCAGCACTGCTAACACACCCAAAATGTATTCCACCGCAAGAGTGTCAGCCAGAAGGTATGCTCCACCCAGGGCCTTATTGAAAGACTGCTCAGTACAACAGGACAGCTTCTCTCTCCCCAAAGAGCCAGACTGGACTCAAAAATCTTTGAAAACCAACTTCTTCTGAACTTGAACAAGAAATTATTGCTGCAATATTAAAATGTGTCAGTTCATGATGTTAGGACAGGAGACAAGAGATGTTTCGACACTTGGGTCCAAGTTTTAAAAATGGTGTCAGGAAGTTAAAATATTGTTCAATAGACTCATTACAAGGTCGACTAGACAGTATTTTAACTCTAGTTGATGACAAACTGGAGTTGAAATATCAGTTGAAATGATCAGAGCCTGTTCCTTTGTTAGTTTGTTAGTTGTGTCTAATGCCCCTTTTTTCAGGCAGACAACTTTTACTTAAATGTGTTTACTGCAGTTAAAATGACACATTGGTTTTGCTTTGTGTTAAATAGAAACTTTCAAAGGTAAAATCATTCCTCTTTCTTATTTTGCTTACTGACATTTAACTCTGCAGGTCATCCCTGAAATTCTGACACAGAATCACAAGTCCAAGTGTGAACTGTGTCACAAAGTAAACACAAAAAAAACCATGTATTATCTGCAGCATTGTTCATTAAAATGGCTCAACACTATTAATGTATTACAGAAAATATACATACGGTACACAGACTTAATGATATGTATACCATTAAATTAGGTAATACATTCAGCAAGTACTTTTATTTTTAATACTTTAAGTATTTTAAAAGCAAGTACTTATTTACTTTTACTTAAGTAAAAATGTTAATGTGGTACTTCTACTTTTACTAGAGTACATTTTTGTCTGTTTATTTGTACTTTTACTTAAGTACAATGTTTGAGTACTTTCTCCACCACTGATTACAGCACACCAAATGACTTTTAAAAACATGTCAGGACTTCATTTTCTGCATGTAAATGCACTTAGCATTCTGAGAAAACTTGATGCCTTGAAAATTTTAGTCAGTTCTTCTGGGGCAGATGTAATCTTCATCTCTGAAACCTGTCTCAACAAATCTGTACTCAATAACGACCTGGTAATCAATGGATTTAACATCTATTGATGTGATCGTCAAAAAAAGTGGGGGTGGAGTCGCTATTTACATCAGAGATTCTCTGGTTTCTAGTCATGTGTCTGCTAAAACAATCCCAAACCAGTTTGAGGCCTTAGCTATAAACATTACTTTGAATGGAGGCCAGATCTTATCTGTAGTGGGTAGTTATCGTCCCCCCTCAGCAACACCTGAGGCTCTTTCCTCCCTGATGGAATTCCTTGGAAATTTAAAATTCAAAGAGATTTTTTTTGGCAGGAGATTTCAACATTGACTGGGATAAGTCAACCCTCCTCTGTGATAAATTCAAGGAATGTTGCCTGCTACTTAATCTATCCCAACTGATCGACTCTCCCACTAGACCAAACAAAAACTGTCCTGAAAAATCTTCCATCTTAGACCTGTTTCTAACAAATAGGTCTCACACATTCCCTGGTACAGGTGTATTTTTTTTTCATTTAGCCTTTATTTATACAGGTAGTCTCATTGAGCCACGAGAACTCATTTTCAAAAGAGACCTGTTTAGGGAGCACATGGTGGGGGTTAAGGGCCTTGCTCATGGGCCCAGAGTGGGGCGAATGAGGGTGGGGGCAAGTGCATTTGCAGACATTTTGAGTGATTGTGTAATAGCGGCTCTCAGAGATATTAAACTTCCACCTTCTAAGCCCAAATTAATTCAAAAAAGGGATCTGAAACGTTTTTGTGAACAGTCATTCCTCTGGGATCTATCCCACTTTGACTGACATCGTATTCTATTAACTGACGACGTGAACTCCACTTGGAACTATTTCCATAATAGTTTAACTTATTTTGTGAACAAACATGCTCCTTTTCGTCAGTTCAGAATAAAGGGACGAGACAGCCCCTGGTTTACCCCAGAGCTAGCTGACCTCCTGCACAGGAGAGATCATCTTTGGGCCACAGCGAGAACATCTGGCTCAGACACTGATTGGTTGAGTTTTTGACAGATGAGGGATGAATGCACAACTGCCATCAAAGCCGCAAAACGTAACTCTTATCTCAGACCTCCAAAAATCTAAATGACCCTAACAGATTCTGTAAAACCATGAGATCTCTCTGAGGAAGCTTCCAATCATCTGACCTCCCATCACAACTTCTCGTTAATCTGTTCCTGTGTCAAATAAGCACGAGATCCTGAACTGTTTTGACAAGCATTTTGTTGCTTCTAGTTCTTTATTTGACACAGTTACTAATGGAAAATCAGCCACTTCACTTAATAACCAAACTTCTACAAAATCAAATCCCTCCTACAAGTCAACCCTCAGTTAATCACACCTTCTCTTTTTTTCCATTCTCAGTCAGTGAGGTCAATAAACTGTTAAAAGATCTTGATCCTAAAAAATCTGCAGGTTCAGATGAACTTCCACCTTATTTCTTAAGGCTGGCTGCTCATATCATCACAGTCCCTGTGACCCACATCTTCAATCTCTCCATGAGACAAAACTCCATCCCAGACACTTGGAAAACAGCCTTTGTTCTTCCTTTGCTGAAGGGAGGTGACCCCACCTCACTGAACAACTATCGGCCAATCTCTAAACTCTGCATTTTAGCCAATGTTCTAGAAAAACTGATAAACTATAAAATCAAAAATTACCTGGACTCATTTAACATCTTACCACCCCATCAATCTGGTTTCAGGAAACAACACAGCACAACCACTGCCTCACTGAAGGTTCTTAATGACATCGTTGAAGCACTGGATGCTAAGGATTATTGTGCTGCACTTTTCTTAGACCTGTCCAAAGCTTTTGACACTGTGGATCATACCATACCATACCAATTTATTTATAGAGCACTTAAAACAGCAACAAGGCCAACCAAAGTGCTGTACAAAAGAAAACAAACATGCACAGCGGACAGGAAAACATAAAACAAAAATACAGATACAAATAGCAGCAGAAGCTAACTAAATTGGCCAACAGAGTAGAGAACAGACCGGACCAAAACAAATCACAACGTGTTAAAGGCAAGAGAATAGAGGTGGGTCTTCAAGCGAGACTTAAAGACTGAGAGTGTGGGAGCCTGCCGGACACTCAGTGGCAACTCATTCCACAGTCGTGGACCTGCAACAGAGAAAGCCCTGTCACCTCTGAGCTTACGACGGGTTTCTGGGACTGAGAGAAGCATCTGGTCTGCTGACCTCAGAGAGCGCGGTGGGACATATGGCTGCAGAAGATCAGTGAGATAGGATGGGGCGGAACTGTTCAGTGATTTAAAAACATACATGAGAATTTTGAATTGGATCCGAAGGTGAATGGGTAGCCAGTGCAGGGAGGCCAAAACTGGCGTGATGTACTCTGTATAGCCTGTACCAGTTAAAAATCGGGCTGCAGCATTTTGGACCAGTTGTAGACGAGCAATGGAGGACTGACTGATTCCAAACAGAAGTGAATTGCAGTAATCAAGCCTAGATGTTATGAAGGCGTGGATCACTGTCTCAAGGTTCTTCTTGGAGAGTATAGGTTTCAGCTTAGACAACCGTCTCAGCTGAAAAAAACAGGATTTGACCATCATGTTTACGTGACTGTTGTGTTTTAAGGACGGGTCCATTATCACCCCCAGATTAGTGACCTTTTGTTTCTCTAGCGGGGCTAGAGAGAAAAGGTCAATGTCATGGTTCATGAGTGAGCCACTGGGATGGAACAGCATGACCTCAGACTTCTTCTCATTCAAGCTTAAGAAGTTTAAAGCCATCCAATCCCGGATGTCAGCCAGGCAGTC